TATATATATATATATATATATATATATATATATAATTTCTGGTGTTCTTAAACCTTTCATTACTCACTCTTTTCGATATTCCCTGTTTTTGAGTTAGAAGGATACTGAATAGACAAAAGTTACATTTGCTTATTGTGACTTCTTAAAATACATTTTTTAATCTTAATTTGGAGCTTAATTGATGCAGATGAAGTGTGGGGCATTGGAATTTGGAGATAATGATTAACCATAGACTGTTAATTCAGCATACACGTGTCAAAAATAAAAGAATTTTGAACCACATAACCCAGTCAATTTCTGGTTTGACCTATAAAAAATAACAACATAATTGCATTTTGATGTAACTAACTCCAAAAAACCTCCAGAGAAACATATCAAACTGTAGATAAATATGTGTGGAACAAAATTGTTAATTTGCATAAACTCAAGATGGCCTCTCAGTGCGATATTTTCTTTCGACGTATACTATATTTGTGGAAGAATGTTCTAATGATGGCAATAAGAACTAAAAAATCTTCACATAGGTATACATACTGATTACTTTTAAAAGGACCTTGACTAATTAAATATCCAAGATAGCTACCATATTCAAGATGGCCATCGAAAACCTCGCTAATATCCATCTCCAATACAAGAATAGATGTAGGAATTCTCTTTGAATGATCTTAGTGTCTGGTTGTATACATTTGTTCACATTTAATATCACACGCTTAATTTCAGTTATTTCTTGACATATATATAGCATAGTGGAATAGCATTAAGTAGCATCGAATCCATTCAGTCGTCACTCGAAACATTGTCCCTTCCTTTACACTGCTCTTCAAGTTCCTAACTCATGTTATCCAAAGAAACAAAGAATGAGTTTGTATAGCTGACACCCTTGCACCCCCTACATGTAGCTAATCATTCTAGCTCATTCTTCTTGCAGGTGCACATATGTATATCGCAGTCTGTTTTTGCAGTTATATCTGATGACCCTCAAAAGAATTTCTGGAGCTAGTGGCAGATCTGTTGATCGTGGCTCAAGATGATCCTGCACTCGAAGCCATCCCAATTCTTCTCTATCTAAGTTGTCAGGTTTTCCTATCCACTGCTGAATTGAGAATACACACGAAACCTGTAATGGCAGGCAGCCACTGCTATGGGGAGAAAACTCTGCAACTGTACACTAGTGGTGCTTGTGGACCCTTCTCAAAGAAACATCTGTAATGCATTGCATCCAAGCCCTAACTAGGCTGGCCACCATACAAACAAGTGAGAGCTTTCTTCTCAGTACAGATGATATCATCCTTGGATGCTTCACTGGAGAACATTTCAGCCTGTTTCTTGAAACCAGGGTTCACAACTAAACTCCTGGAGTGCCACCCCTTCCTAATTCCAAACAAACATAATGTGGTGTCGTATTCAGAAATTGCATACACAACTGTCAACAAGTGGCACATCTCTGGACATATTCTTCAACCAGTTAGTGTTACAAATTCCTTCGTCGTTATGGGCATCCCTCCAACAAAATTCACTTGGGCGCCTACAACACATTTTGATTGCGAAAACTTGCGGTATCTCTTGCAGATGGACCTGCATTGTGACATTTAAGAACAATGATAAGGCTCTGTACTTGCGTTGAACATAACCTATGTCAGATGTTGAACCTCATTTCTATGATAGTCGTTGGATGAGTGAGCTACCATCAAACACATAACACATTCCTTCTTCGTCTGGTGCAGTTATCTCAGTCCCTTGTTCCACAGTCCAAATTACATCAGCAAGTAATGGCTTGTTTGCCTCTCGAAGAAGTCCAGTTGTATCGGGCAGAGATGGTGGATTAATGTGGATTTCATGTTTGAATATTTACTTAATGTCTTCTTCACTTTACCTACAACCGTTAGCAAACGCTGGAGATTTACCTGGATGTAATCACTATCGACCTTGGCAGAAACCTTGTGGCCCATTGTGACTAACTGATTCTTTTTGTTGTTGTTTTTAAATGTATAATCCAAAGCATTTATCTCTTCCATGTCTCTGAGAATGTTTCTTCCCACTTCCTCCTCTTTATGAACATTCACAGGGAAGTCAGCTAGAAGGCGTTAATATTTCGCAAAGGTGGGCTCTGTACGAAAGGATTTCTGCCCTGAAGGAGTCCAAGAAGAGTCAGGTTATCTTTGTCATCTCTTGTCTTCGTGGCCTTTTACACATCTTTATGTTGATCATTTGTCAGATAGTTTGCGTGTGCGAGATCCTACCTGGCACCATTTACATCAGCATATGCTGATATTAGACAGCAGCCATTGTGCATGTTGAGACTGAGCCATTCCTCGACGGCAGTAGGAAAATATCGACAAACTATAATTGTTTGACTGGTGTATTGAAGGTATTTGTGGTTGTTAGGATTAGTTCCAGCATGATGAAAACCATACAAATACACATTTAGATCACTCAAATCGGGAACTTACATCTATTTCATGTCAGAGATGTATATTGGCGGGGTAATTGGAGGCATTCTTAGAAAATAGCATCCATTTTGAATATTTTTATTGGCTTTTATATTCTTCCAGTGAGAATACTTATGCGAAGTTTTATGTACCTCTATCTTTATTCGAAAACACATTCCCTTATTGTAATATTCATTAAGATATTTTGGAAGAAAAAAATGGCACTGAGCGGTCATCTGGGATTTAGGCAAGTTAGTAAGTTTTCCCATCTACATTTTTTATACGTTGCTCAGGAGGAATTTAAGGTTATTCAATCAAATTATATCAGGAAATGGTAGAAAGTCTTCAGAGGATAAGTGATACTGATGCAAACATTATACTTTAATATCAACACCCATTATTTTTATAGGAAGTTCATAACTGTAATTATGTGTATGTGTCTATGGAATTATATATTTACTCACAAGAATTTTTTTCCATCAAACTGCCCCATGCGGCATAAAATCATGTATTGTTTACGGCCTACTTAAAGTCCACAAAACTGGATACATTCTACGTCTTATTCTTTCAACTGTAGACTCCTATAATTACAACATCTATAAATATATTTTCCTATTCTTAAATCCCTTAATTTGAATATATTTACTATCATTGATTCTTTCACATTTGCTTCTGAAATCTCTAAAATTCCCTTCGCCAATTAATGCGTTATGGTCCGATTTGATGTTAAATCTCTCTACACCAATATTCCACTTGATGAAACTTTAAATCTAATTGTTGACCTTCTCTTTCCTATTAACACTGAACAGTCTCTTGGTTTCACCCAAAAATAATTCATTGAACTTTCTACCCTCACCATAAAATTAAACCATTTCCTCTTTAATAGCATTAATTGTGACCAAGTAGATGGAATCGCCATTGGGTCCCCGCTGGGTCCAACAATAACAATTATTTCTTTTGCTACCACGAACACAAGTTATTAAAAAACTACCCACCTGAATTCATGCCTTTTCTGTACAAACGCTATATTGATGACATTTTCATGCTTTTTCGAACATCTAATCACGTTTCTAAATGTTTTGCTTGCTCGAACTCCCAGTACCTCAATATCTAGTTCACATGCGAACTAGAAGAAAATTAATCATTACCTTTCTTTGACATCAGGATTAATAAAGAAGATAAACATTTTTCTACCTCTGTTTATCTTAAAATACGTACAGGTCTTTACAATAATTTTATCAGCTTTATCCCCAACCTCTTCAAACAAAATCTGATCATGTCATTTTTATAAAGAATTTTTAATATCTGCTCTAATTACTCAATTTTGCAAGAATAAGCTATAGTTTTGCTCAAACACTTATTAAACAATGACTATCTGACGGAATTTCTAACCAACATATTTTTAAACAATAAATTCCAGCCACTCACCATTTTACGTACGGTCCCTGAATTTCCCTTCCTTTTATATGATCACAGACTTTACAGCTCCCCACCTTGTTCAAATATCTCTATATTTGAAATTCAGCTCATACTAATATGCAGACCAAGCCTCCGCATTAAATACTTCTTTCGATATTAAAATTGAATACCAAAACTTTTACGTTTCTAGCTCATGTTTGAGTGTACGTGTACTGACTGTAGAGTAACATACACTGGTAAAACAAAACGCCCTATAACATTAAAGTCTGTGAACATTTAGGAGTATCACACAGGACCAGCCGCACATTACTTAAGCCACTCACTATTCGTTTACCTGCAGAGAACACAAGCCACAATATTTCACATAGTTTCTTCGTCATTACTACAGGATTTTCAGTTCTTGAATTTCGCGTTAACTTATTCATAGCAGAAGACCCTCCGGGTTTTAATGACTTTCAAACTCATTTAGACCTAAAATTATTGTAAATAGTTTCACTTAACACTCAGCTGTTTGTTAGTATAGTTATATTTATAAACTGACGTCTTCATGCAACTTGTAATTTTGTTATTTCTGTTACGTATTCTATAATCTGTACGTCCTTCTGTTTACCTCGTTACTGAGTATTTTAGGTAAATTAGTAAATGATGTTACTGTAGCGTTACTTAATAAATATGATTACTGTATTATTTCCAGATTTCGCTAAAGATGAAATAAGTGTATTCCGAAACGTTCGAAGCTTTTGTAGATAAAAATGTTTTTCGTCTTATCAACCGTCTTCATCTTTATTTTTAATATACAAATATGAATAATATGACCGCTAGAATTCCTTAAACGCTTTTAAGTCTCCACTCAATATCAAGAGTTTAGAGTCAGATGAAAACCTAACTTTCATAATTCGGCTTAGTAGTCATTCAATATTCTTTACAACAGCGATTTTCTGTTTGGATTAGCATCACAATATTATATACTGTTCCCGATCTTCAATGGGCAACTGATATATCCCTTTAAGTCACTGGTTGTTTTTAAAGAAATAAACAAACATTCCCTTGGTAATGTTATCGACATTTTCTAAAAATAAACAATAAATGGCACTTTTTCTTTCTCTCGTTCAAGGCTCATACTTTTAAGCACTGACTTTTAATGTTATCCAATGAACTTTATATGTATATAAGAGAAATACTTTTAGTAATCCAATATGTAACATTATATACAATATGATTAACTTCCAGTGAAGAGTGTTAAGTAGGCATAATATGAATATTTCTGGATGCATACAAGATTATAGCCACAGTGGCTGAAAGGAATATTCATATAATAATGTTTTGTTCGTTTTTGTCTTGAATTTTGCACAAAGCTACACGAGATCTATCTGTGCTAGTCGTCCTTAATTTAGAAGTGATGAATTAGAGGAAATGCAGCTAGTCAACACTACCCACTGCCAACTCTTGGGCTACTCTTTTACTAATGAAAAGTGGGATTGACCATTACATTATAATGCCTCCATGACTGAAAGGGCCCTAACCACCAGGCCATGCCAGGCCTTCATATAATAATGTATGCATCACTTACATTTGGTTAAAATCCTGACACCCATTCTAATAAAACTTGACATTAATTGTTAACTTCATACCAAGTTAGTCACCTCTAAGACTCATTTCTACAACATCGTTAACTGTAAATGTTTCTAAGGACATGAAGTGTTTGATTAAAAACATTGGAAACAAAAACATTTTTGTTTTTAGCAAATTAGGTTAATGATAAAATCAGAACAGCTTTCTTGTGAACTATTCTATTATTATGGTTGTATTGTTTACTACTTCATGCTTGAAATGTATCAAGTAACATTGGCGAAAATCAATGGATATATATTTTTACATTCAACTGTCAATATTTTCTTAAATATATCTTAATTTTAAGGGTACTTAAATGAGATTGACGCCATTTTGTTTTTATGCATGTGTTTTCGTTCTAGAACCGTATGCAGGAGAGCTTGAAACTCTTTGATTCTATCTGTAACAACAAGTGGTTCACAGATACTTCAATTATTCTGTTCCTCAACAAGAAGGATCTATTTGAAGAGAAGATAAAGAAATCTTCTCTCACCATATGCTTTCCAGAATACACGGGTAGGTTTTGAAATCTGTAATGTGAAATGTCTGATTCCAGTATACTTGATGCTGTAGTGGAGTTCCTGGCTACGTCATAAAAATGGCTTCGATAATCAGAAAAAGTAAAAGCTTTAAGAATATTAAATTTTACAGGAATTTGGAATTGTACAGTTAACTTTTTCTTATTTCATGAACTGAAAGAGCAAAGGAAATAGAAACTGTCTAAATATGGTTGAAATACTACAGACTTCTTAATTGGAGGCTTAGGATGAGTAAAGTATGTTTTTTCTTCCCATCAATGTTTCCTAGTAGCAGTGGGTAAAAGATTTATATTTAATGTAATAGTTAGCAGTGTTATTATATCGTGTCTGTACTCTTTCTGTTAGGGCAAAACATCTCAAAACTCCGGAATATTTTATCTGGTATAATACTAAATTGAATGTGTTTTTAAATAACTAATCTTAGCGTGGATTTAAAATGTTCATCTGTTTTACAGTGACAGACAGCTTCTATTTTGCCTTGAAAAGGCTTGTAAAGAATTATTATGACTTGAGTTTGCATCAGTATAACAAATAGATCATAATATATCGTACCATGTATGTGTTATACTGCTTGCCTTTTAAACTTTGTATAGATGTTCACTCGTATCATAAATTCACTGCTATTTTCTCAAACAAGTCTCACGACAGGATAACTTCCAGACGTAAGTGCACTATACATGATAATTTTAAGTTAGTTTCCTACGCTGAACTGATCTGACTCAGAGGTACAGAATTATAGTCCGTACATAAAAAACTGCTTCAACTTTCAAATGTAACCTTAAAGAAAAGTTTTCACTTGGGGGGGGGGGAGTCGTTTATAATTTGATAAATTATATTATTTCATATATTATTTCATAAATATGAAAATCCAGTACTGGGGATGGAGGTGGGGAAGTTGAGCCCCATACGTTTTTTGACAAAGATGAATGTTGAATAGTCTTTGAGATCACCGTGGACTGTCGTACCTGATTCTTGAAACATACAAGTGTGTTTATGCATTACAATGCAATACATTTTAAAGAGAAACAATTATTTACAGCACACCTGTATATTAATATGGCTGTAAAAATATTACATTAAAATATTACTATTACGAAATAACATTACGACTCTGTGAAACAAGTTTGTATCAGCTAGAAAAACAAACAATGAATACTAAATTAAACTTAAGGAATTGTCAAAGTCACCATGTAACATTTAGTTTCATTATATTTGAATAGAAATAAACAGTCTAGATTCAGGGAAACTCTCAGTGGGGCACAAGTGCGCTTGTTATTACTTTTAAACTCCGACATATTTAGATTACTCTTTGTAGGGGAAGGAGAGAGCAGTGGCATAAAAAAAAGGAACCTTTTTTTTTTTTTGCCAGGGTGAGTGACTTTCAATGAACCTGTAATTGTCAAATAGCACATAAAAATAAGAGTATTGTTTTTAAATAACTAGTGACACTATACAATATATACGTTTTTTGTTGTTCTTGTTTTATGCTCTTGACGAATGAAAATTCAGAATCTCTAAATGGAAGTTTCGTTACTGTTTTGGTCATCATAAGAATTCCGCTACTTAACAATAACCCCTCCCGATCCTGCTTGCTCCCTCTACAGACCGAGAGGAAAGTTATTGGTCCCCTGCTCCTGCGTCACTGGGAGAGAAACCAGATAAAAAATAACACTCTTTGCACGCTTGTCATTATGTTTATAATTGTGAACAACCCCTTAGAAAGAGTTTCACACAACCAATCTCATAGATTCACTTTGTATAGTAAATAACAACACGTTTAAACAAGAGGAAAAGTTTGAGCTCAACTAAAGTGGTTCTACAAGTAAAGGTGCTTCATATTCGGAATCGACTCTACGGGAACATGTTATCTCTCAGTGAAATTCCTTTGATAATGGCTGACCAGAAATTTTTAGATTAGTTATTATTATGGAAACCCTAATCTTAAAAATATATTAATAGCACTTCCAACTTATAAGGAACTTATTCGTATAACAAATAATAATAAAATAAAGCTCAAAAAACACACGAAAAAAGTTTTATAAAAGAGCCATGTGCCATGAGTCTCTTTTGTCACAATAGATCTTTAGTTTTCGATACTTCAAGATTTCTGTCTACACATACCTCAAAAGCTCCCACTGGCACAAAGGTAAGTCTGCGAACTTATCATGCTAGAAGTTGTTTGGAATTAAGCACAAAGCTACACAATGGGCTATCTGTGCTCTGCCCACCACGGGTATCGAAACCCGGTTTCTAGCGTTGTAAGTCCACAGACATACCGCTGTGCCACTGGGGGGCTATCACGCTTGAAATCGGGTTTCAATACTCGTAGTGGGCACAGATTGCCCATTGTTTAGCTTTGTGCTTAACTACAAACAAATATACCTTAACGAGCCGTTGAACAAACACATTCTAAACAAGCTGCCACTTGGTAAACTGATTTTGTTTCCTTAAGGTATATAATTTATTATTATAATAGCCTCGTATTAGTATACTTTACATTTGTATGTTTTTCATTTGTAATAGGTTTTGTGATGTATGCTGTTTTCAAGGATGCTCTGATAAAGGCTTATGTTGCAGTGCATTGTGGTTTGTTTGTTTTTGATTCACCCAACTGGAGGTTTGTCAGTATGTTGGTTTATGTTAAGCATATGAATCAGAAGACTTATAGTGAAAAATGTTCTTGTAATTACTCCGTCTACTCAACTCCAAAGGTTTGGTAGAATGAAATTCAGAACGAGGAATATATGGCACCTATTCTAAATATGATTTTCATTAGTCTTTCATATAATTTCTTGGTTCGCCTAAATTGGAATAGAAAGGCTGCCTCTGTGTTGAACTTAACAATTTTGTTTTAGTTTGACATTACTCGAATTTATGAAGCATAGAAAAAATAACTGAAAATTATTATGTTTCAAATGTGAATAAAAAACATTCTTTATGAAGCTAACTTTATATCACTTTAGCCTCTATGTTCAAGTTATAGATAAGGTGTGTTTCACTCGTTCTTCATGAAGCTAACTTTATATCACTTTAGCCTCTATGTTCAAGTTATACATAAGATGTTGAATGGGTAATGAATAAAAACTTTAATATAAGTTTAACATAACAG